TTATATTATATTATATTATATTATATTATATTATATTATATTATATTATATTATATTATATCACCTTTTCAGATTGTCAGCAGTGCTTTTGGGCTGAACTGTTCCAGTGTTGTGTTCAAGGTACATGTGTAAAATACAGGCATTTCTCTAAATGTTTAGTGGAAGTGGGTCCATGTGTCAAAAATGATTAATGAAAAAAAATTTGGGGGGAGCTCTTGAAAACACAACAAGCTGATAAGTTTTCTCTGTGTGTAGATAAGGAACCATCATGGCCATCTTATCCCTCTGAACAGGTCCATCCCTGCTAACAGCAAGCACATGTATGTGGTCTGGTGATGTAAAAGTCTTTACATTTAATCACTGCATACTGAAAATATATAATCAAGCAGTTATATATTTTTCTTCACAGACCTTACGTGCTGGAGGTTGCAAAGATCTTTCAGCATGGTAATCAGTGTGTTTATCTTTAACAGTTTGTAAATGTTTCTACATTTCATAATCCTGTTAATGGAATAGCTACAGCCAATCAGCTTAGCTTATGGGATATACAAAGGCAATGGAATTATGAAAAAACCTTGTATCAAATGTGGTGCTTGGAGGGGTCCCAGCACCTCTATTCTGGAAAAAGTATTTGCAATGATTCATTTGCTGTAAAAGAAAAATATAACTTAATATAAAGTATTAGATTTTCTTGTCATGGGACAGTTTTTTAAACAACATACAGAAATTGTAGAAGGTATCACAAATGGAATATCCTAAAGACTGCTCTTGGTCAGCATCCACATCCTGTGAATGGAACCACAACTTTAATAGTAGCAGTGAATGGACTCGTTTTCCTTTATTTTGGATGGGAAACACATGAAACACATAAAACATGAATCAGTTTATCATGGCTAAATTATTCTACAAATAGTAAAGAAGATTATAGACTTCTCTGTTTAAATCACTATAAATATACAGAAAGAAAGATCACTACAATGTGTAGTCCTGAACAAAAAGGCACCTTTTTGATTTCTGTTTGGTTTCATATTACTTCAGTGTGTCCCAAGCTGAGAACCATCCCCATGACTGTGATCAATAAAACTATGAAAACAAGACTACAGACTATTGAAAGAAGGGTAAGTGCAATTCTTTAATGAGAGTACAGTACAGTTAGTGGTTTGGCAGTAGTCCACAGACTGATCTTTGAATGAATATATTAACGACTTAATAACAGATGCTACTTGTCTGTAAATGATTTTAGATTGTATTTTTAATTATAGATACAGAGACTGGAAGACCTTCTACCTCAAGTCAAACTCAGGCGTAATGAAAAACTAACCCAGGTATTTAAACTTTCTTAAAGCGGTGAATGCACTGAGAAACATAGCACAACCATATTGAAGAGTTTTAGCCTCTTCATCAAATCTCTTAACCCATTAAATCCCCCAAATTTCCCTGCATAATAAGTGCATACATTGTACTCCTTAGACATTCCCTACACACAATATGTTTAATTTTTTAAATGTCATAGGGGGTTAGAACAGCAACAGTTGTTCCCAGTGGGTTTAAATGGGTTAATATTACAGTGAGTTTTAAAAAAATCAAACACCTGGTCATTATCTTTTTGTCTGTATCAGGAAATTGAATGTCTCAACCAGAAGTTGAGGTTTCTTCATCAGAGAATGCAGGTAAATCAAAAGTAATTACCATCCAACGTCTGCACACAGGGTAGTTTAGTAACTAACTTAAAAAGTGAAAATCTATTATGGCATATTCACATAGGATAAGGCAGGGTAAGATATCCTTTATCGATCCCCTTGTAGGGAAATTCATTCCCTTCCTTTCACTCATCAGCATAAGGAGCAGTTGGTATTCACTGTCAAAATATCTGGTGGACCAACTCCAGTTAGAAGCCAGTGCCTTGAACAAGCATAAGCTGACATTAACCTAGCGTTTTCTGTTTTAAATTATAAATTAAAATAAAGCAAAATGTGTGTCTTTTTTTTTTATATATAATTCCTGTGTCTATTATGACATTGGGGATTTGTCTATTTATGATGTGCTTTACCACTCATCTGCACCTTAAATAACAGATAGAGATACGCAGCACTTTTATTTACTTTTATTTCAAATACAGTTGAGTATAAGGAATAATGTGTGTTAGACATATTTACATTGTTTAGGTGTTTTTCTTTTATGTTGGTTCTGCTCTGATTTGTTGCAGGTAGCAAATTCTCACACATGGAAAGGGGTGTTGATCAGAGCCCCTCTGTGGTAAACTGAGAGCTGCATTTCAACTGCAGAGCAATGGTTACAATTGCCATCATGGTGCATCATGTTACTATGTACAGCTGGTTCATGATTTGTGTGCCCTATGTTGTAGTGTTTCCAACTACTTATATTATTTATATTAGGATTTCAAACACCTGTAGCCATCCATCTAGTCACAGTCTGTACAAAAAGGCCTTAAACATTTAGATCACAGACTCGTGTTTGTATTCTCCAGGTTAATGCTGATAGTTTTTTAGTGTACTGCTTTTCTGTCTTCAAATGTAGTGAATATATTCCTGTCACCCAAGTATAATAGCAATATATCTGTAAGACCTTCACTTACTTGAGTAGCAAACAAGTAGCAAACTCATTTTGACTGGTGAATGATGAGTTTGACTGTATACTGTGTGCACCTTGAAATAAATAAAATAATTGAAGGAAATAAAAATAGTCTGACTGCATTATTTGTTATTAATATTTATTCATTTTGGAACTCTTATGCTCAGAATCTTTGTTGTTTTCTCTTACTGGTTGTGAAAAAGACAATGGTTGCAAATGTTGGGCAATTTCCTGCCTTTGTAACAAATGATGCAAGCAGTGAAACCGGTCAGGTCTGTCACACAGTGTTCAGTAATCTTTCTTGTGAAGGGGATTATGCATATCCAATTGCAACATAATATGCAAAGGCTAGGTGGCATCATGGGATTTTATGAAAAACTGTCATTTATTTGTCAAAACAAATGCTCAGAAATTGCTCCCTTATTGGTCCCTTTAGGCGCTGTGCATTGAACATTTTGATGTTAAAAGTGAGCGGTAGAGTTTGTTTTCAGACACTGCTGAATCATCATACTGGACATAACTTCAGCTTACACGTTATCCAAACAAGTCTGAAATGACTGGATTTGAAGAAAAAAAAAATGAATACAGACACTTTACTCTGTTTTAGACAAAAATGATAGGCAAAAGGACAAAAAATGTATCTAACAGAAATTAATTTGATTTGTTTTACTAATATGTCTATAATTAAATAAAATACATATCATGCAGTAGTTGAAAACATTATTTTATCAAAATTACCGTAGATCTATCAAGAAATGTAGTTTCAAGTGATCGTCTTATACAGTAGGTGGCGGTGCATCCTCCAGCTGACTCACGTACAACATGGAAATGAAGACACGAAGAAGTAACATTTTGTGTACAGTTAGCAAAAGGGCATGTTTGCGATGACGGCATTAAAGTTAGATATTGGCGGGCTTTGCTATGTTTTTCGTACCTTTTGTTTTAGTTTTTCGTGCTCAAATCCTTCGGTTACAAAAACAGATCAAATAAACAGTCATGTATTAAGTGGGCAATTAACTAGCGGTTAGCCTGCTATCTGCAGCTGTGTGTCTCAGTTGACTGAAATGTCTTATAGACGGGCACTGGTGGATTGTGCGGTGTTGTCTCTGCAAGATCCCTGTGTGTTTTATCCGTGTTGCAGATGCTGTTTCTCCAGGATTGATGTTGACCAGCAGGACACTACGAGGTAAACACAAAGGTTCAGTTGTAGCCGAGAAACGGTAGCATTGTGAAAATCACTTTAGAAACTGTCTGTGCTGAGAGGACTGTATCTAAGTGAGATACAGTCCAGTTAAAAGTGAATGGATTTCTTTTAGAAAATCAAAATATTTTTTATACAGTGTATGTTACCTCTGTTAGCTGACAGTATATGGATACTGGTCAATCGTCTCTGTGTACCCACCACAGATGCAGATGCTTCAAGTGTGGTTACAAGTGTCTGAGAGAACAGGTGGATTACAGGTACCGTCTCTCACTGAGGGTGGCCCGGGACGGACGTATATTCGGGATAACAGTATTTGGAAACAGCTTGAAACCATTCTTTGGCATTCATGCAAATGAATTACAAAGGTGAGTACAGAAAACCCAATCCAAGTTCTTATTATCAAGACTGAATAACTGTTAAAATGTTTTCCCAGGTTTAGAAGGAGTTTGGATTGGGTTAAAGCAGAGGCCATGGATACATATAAGTTGAGGTCATAGTACGGGCGCCCCACAGGGCGATCGTGGCTCAAGAGTTGGGAGTTTGCCTTGTAATCGGAAGGTTGCGGGTTCGAGTCCCGGCTTGGACAGTCTCGGTCATTGTGTCCTTGGGCAAGACACTTCACCCGTTGCCTACTGGTGGTGGTCAGAATCATTGTCCGGCAGCCTCGCCTCTGTCAGTGTGCCCCAGGGTGGCTGTGGCTACAATGTAGCTTGCCATCACCTGTGTGTGTTGGGGTGGATGACTGGTTGTGTAAAGCGTTTTGGGATCCTTAGGGACTAGAAAAGTGCTATACAAATACATTTACCAATTTACCATTGTATGTGATGGAGTTGGTGTACTGGTTGTTGTTACTTAGGGTTTACTACACCTCCCTCCGAATATAAGAGGATGGAGAAAACATTAGAACACTAGTGAGTGCTTTGTAGTTCAGTACAACACCAGGACCACAATCCACAAAAATGCCAGAATTTAAGATTTTTGCCAAGTTTCTATTAACCCCCCCAAAAAAGAAGGAAAGAAATGGCAGTGCTATTGTATTAAATTTAACAGGTGTACCTAATAATATGGAGACAGTGGATACATGCTATTTGTTTTGTACGTCTTCTTTTTAAAGTGCAGATTTTAGTGGTATTTTGTCAGTTTCAAATGACTACAACGTGTGAAGAACATAACATCTTCTCTGCTGATTAAGTGAAGAGCTGTGTGGGCTTTGTGTCTTTTATAGATTGGTGGAAAACCTGGACAGACCCGTGGAACAATCTAGAAGACTCACATTGCTGGTGAAGGCAGTCGAGGACTGTTTCATTGGCAGACATTTCATTTTTGGTATAAAGGTACATTCGTAAATCACATGTGTAAAAGTATTACGTGACATGCAAGATCAAAAGTTATTCAAATACATATGAAGACTTAAAAATAGGCATTCGACATTTTAGTCACTATTGCTGTTTGGAGGTTTTTAGTTTTCTTTTTATATAACTTGAAATCAGTGTCTTCCTGGTCACACAAAACAGCAGAAATTAACTCAAACTCAGTTGTCCAGATTTTTTTATTCCTGCTGTTACTTTGAACATGAAATGATTTTAAAAAACATGAAAAGCAAGACAAACTATGTAACAATGAAACAATAAACTTCTCTCCACATTTCACAATTTTAGTTTCTCAGTTCACCATTAAAGAAAATAAAATAATAGGATCAACATATGTCCAAAATGTGTTCTAATTATGCTTAATTAATTTTTGCGTTGTTTGAGCTTAGCTGTCTGTGGTATCATCTGTGTTGTTTAGGTGATGGAAGCAGAAAGTGCACTTTGGTTTGGAGGACCTGTTCTAAGTGGCTCCAGCAATAAAAATGCAGCACAGTTTGTTGCTACTCAGATGATTCTTCCCAAAGCAACGGGAATGGGAGGATGCACCGTGGTCAGTTATTATCGGATTCTTCTTCAGAAAACTTCTGAATCTGAACTTGTATCTGCTGATACCAGCAGAATCTCCAGTCTTCCAGCAACAACCCCGCTCCTCATTCATGATCATTCTCCAATTAGCAGCTTTAGTGATGCCACACTATCTGCCTCTCATCTTTTGCCCCGATCACTTCAAAGGTAATGAAATTAAGAAATGATACAATCTTCTGTATTTTCTGTCCAAAAAAAACCCCTACTAACTAGAGAGTCATGTACTCCTATGTACTATTCCTTTGTAGGGACTACAAAATAACAATAAATGGCTCTGAAAGCCAAAGTAAAAACCACACATATTCTCATAAGCTCTTAATATTGACTTCTAAGCATGTGGGTGGAGGTGCTATTACATTACATGCAAAAATGATAATTGATAATAGCTTTTGTTTCCTTCCTAGATCACGTTACATAGACTGCACCCTTACTCCCACAGCTCCATGGCAGCAATCACTTGGACTGGTTACATCATCAGCAGAGCAGGAAGAAGGCTGCAGTACCCAGGAATGTGGAGATGACAACAGAAGTCAGGCTGACAAAAGCGTAACACCATATCTTGCACAGAGGGGCTGCCAGGAAAACCAAAAAGTGGCAAAAGACTTGGCTCCTTTTTTCTCATTGCAGCACAGTTTTTATGATAGTCCATCATCTGAGAGGGGAGCTGGAAACAGCCCTAGCCTAAAGACTTGGTTAAGGCCATCCCAGTATTGTCAGAATAGCCCCAAAGAAAAGGAGTTTTCTACTGGACAGCTCACCAGAACATTTTCATCAAGCTCATTGGCTTGGAACGATTTGCCTTTCTCTGAAAGTCTGACAGAGTTTTTATGTGAAGCCAATAAAGATTTTGACACTGATAGAGATACGAAAGAAGTTCAGAATGTTCACTGGAAGGAAGTAAAGGCAAGAAATAACCTGGGAAACAGCAGCTTAATAAGTGAAACATCTTCTTGCCAAAGAAATGTACAAATAACAGAAAGGCATTTGCAAGCATTGTTGGATGCCACTAATACGCCTGCAACAAATGGATGTGGCTCACATGATTCAGCCAGCAAAGAATGCAAGAACCCTCTTCTGTTTGTCAAAAGGAGTCAAGCTAGAAACATCTATTCCCATGGGTGTTATCAGGTGGATGGCACAGCTAGTTCACTGTCTTTTCAAAAGGAGGAAGAAGAGCAGCTTGAGGGGGATGCCTACAACTGTTCAGCAGATCTGTTTGGTAGCTCAGACACGATCAGTCTTGAAACGGAGAGGTTCACCATGCATGCAGAAGCCATCGGTGATGGCATGGAAGCTTGCTCACAGTTTTCCAAGGCAGACGAGCATCATCTGATTTATGAAAATGCGAATGTGACACAATCAACACCAGATAAAGGGAAATTAAAAAAAAGTAAATACAGGGAGAGTTTGATTCCACAAGACACAAAAGGATTTGACTTTGTCCCTCCCTCTCAGTCCACACCCATTGTAAAACTAGGCGTTGTATCATACTCACGTGTTGACTTGTACAAAAGTGTGACAGGTGAATTCAGTTCACAGCCTGTCAATCAAAAAAGTTTTAATGCGAATTTACATGAAATGGAGTGTAAAAACAATTCTGTTCATAAACTAAACTGTGGTAATGCTGACCAGGCTTTGCAGAGTGAGATGGAATCTGTCAAAGAAAACTTTGTGTGGAGAACTACATCCAGCAGACACAGCCACAAACTTACCCCCAAAAGAAAATTCTTGAAACCAGTCGAGGATAAAAACAGTCTACATCCTCTGCAGCACCTTAGGGTGCAGGAAGAGGCTCTAAACCGCATGTCAATCAACTGCAAAGCAAGATTTATTGACGTGTCAGAGTGTGGCTATGACAATGAAGCAATTGTTCCTCCTACACCTGCGAGTAAAATCCAACAAAGTGTGCCAATCCGAAAAAGAAAGCTGACAGACAACAGCAACAATTTTGG